AGAAACCTCATCACTGGACTCAAAGTAGTTAATTCCATCTCTCGACCATTGAAGCTTTATTGTGATAACTCAGCCGCCGTTAGTTTCTCGAACAGTAACAGTTCGACTGGCGCTGCTTTATATCTTGATACAAAGTACTTGTTCGTACGTGAGCGAGTTGAGGAAAATAAACTTTGTATTGAGCATATAAGTACTAAGAATATGCTTGCGGATCCGATGACTAAAGGTCTCCCTCCTAAGATTTTCGAAGAACATGTTTCGAAGATGGGGTTATCTAAAGACCTTATTTAGTTGCATATTGTACTTGCTTACATTTAATAATAAAATTTCCTCATTGTTTTGTTTGTTTTGTCTCTAAATGTGTCTATGCATGCCTAAAGACATATAGACAACATTTATATACAAAATAATGTTATGGGCTTAATTGTCAATTTGATCCTTAGCTTATTTAAGTTCTAAATTTGGTATTGTAGTATGATTAATGGGGGTCTTGAATTGAATATCGATTCAATGACTGTATTTCTCTGCTACAATTTCGGTTTAGAACTAAAATGAGTATTAAAATCTGATCAGACTTATCTAATACTCATCATAAATGATTACTCGGCCAAGTGGGAGAATGTTGGACACGATTTTATTATGTGGCCTGAGTTATCATTTATCTAATTAATTGATCATTGACCTAATAAATACCCTACGTATTTAATTGGTAATTATTCGATGGACGTAATTACCCTTACGACCTAATTAGGGTTTCCCCTTGGGTGTATATATATAGAGGTCATTATGCATCTCATATTTTCACATTATGGAAGGAACTTCTCGAGCTCTTTCTTATACCATAAGATTCATTGGTCTACTTGGTAGTCATGCTCTTGGTAGCAATCCAAGGTTCATGGCTACAGCGGTTGATCTAGGATGGGAATTGGTAAGGCGAAAAATTAGGCTTACCTATGGAGGAGGCAACGTTGGTCTTCAAGGAGCTGTAGCTTCAACAGTCTATAATAATGGTGGTAGAGTCAGAGGTTTCATACCAGGGTATATAGCAACACGACAGGTTTACGGACCTACGTACGGTGTAGAGTACACCGTTTCCAGCAATTACTATAAGTATTTCGAGATGAATCATATTGTGGAAGCCTTCATCGTACTTCCAGGAGGGATTGACACTATGGAAGGTTTATTCACTTTGATCTCATGGGCATCCGAAGGGTTACACAGTAAACCCATTGGTCTTTTGAACATTGACGGTTATTTCAATAACCTAATCAAGTTTCTAGATGATGCGGTGAGGCAGAACTTTATGACTTTGAATCAGAGGAAACTTTTCATTTCTTCTTTCTTTGTTGATGAGCTTTTAGACAAACTAGAGTTTGCCAAAGCTTTTCCAGGTGCTGGGAATAAGTATGACGAGTTCGTAAATCCTGGGAGATTAGACTTAGAATTGCATCTGTAACTTTCCTCATGTAATCCAAGTTGTATTTTGTGTTGAAATAATATTATCCATAAATATTATTTAACGTTGTATGGCCAGCGCGAACTAAATTTTCTTCATTCTTCAGTCTTTCATTGTTGGTGTCACTGTTTCACGTCATATCGTCACCACAGTCGCGATCTTTCACATCAAAATGATATCCGAACGAGTCAATTATCTTATTGATTTGTCTTGTCAACATCACTTTACTTCATTTATTCAATCAGACTACATTGACGTTTCCGATGATAAGTAATTAGGTCATTAATCGCTTCATAACAAGGCATCAGTTCATTCAACAAGGTTGAGTTGTCTATAGCTTTTAACAAGCAGGTTCTTTGTATCTGACTGAACAAGTTGTTAGTTAGTAGTAAAGGATAGAAATTCTCGATCGTTATTTTGTTCAAGTTTCATAACAGGAATTTGTGAGTATCTTGACCGTAAGTCAATCTTAGAGAATACAATGAATTCTCTTAACTGATCAAATAAGTCATGATACGAGGTAAACGAAAACGAATTATTCAATCGACAGTAGTTGATATAGAGTCTCATTGATTTGCGTATGAACAAAATAGGTATTCTCTCAAGGAGGAAACACTTGATCCGATAATTCTTTATCAGGAAGTCATTGATGGAAACACGTTCATTACAGAGTTACGAATATTGGTCCTTCAGTTCAGATCTTTCTTTCGCGTATCACACGAAAGGACTTTACGCCATTTTGGTTGAGAGGTTTGCGCACATAAATTCGAAATGAACTCGGTCGGTTTAGAAATCAGCTTTGCTTTCACCTATATAAGGTTTCCATCATCGATCTTCAGTTGAAGAATTCTTCGTCAAGAGTTATCAATACCAACGTCGTTCGATCAGCCAATGTATACTAATGATAATTGTCAAATTCCTTGTATGGTATTTCAACAAGGTTTTGCAAGGAGTTGTCGCTTAACAAACGATTTCGATTCCTAAGATATAATCGCATATTTGCATCTTAATGAGTTCGACATCAGAATGGGATGCTTTAGATAACAGAGTTTATTGATTCTAAACGTTAGTGTTTGAATCAGAGATTAGATCGTCTTGAGTCCACATGAGGATCTTTGACATCGTCTTCACTAATGTTGATCAACATAAATCATTTCTTCGGAGTCGTCTCACTTTCGTACGATTTTGCGATGCAGATCAGTTTTGTCCGTCGCGATGCGATGCGTACGTTAATAACGGATCAGAGGGTCATATATTTTTCATTCATTCTTGCGTCTCTACAAAAGTTCTACTAGAGTCTATGCTCGATATGGTTTCAGTACTAATCAATTGTTATTCAATGAGAACTCTAACAGAGTAAGTATTTACCAAGTAATTTATCATACCTTTCCTGTAGCAGAGGGATGCGAGAGTCGTGGATGTGATTGACACAATTTTTTTTTAATTCAAATTTTGATCCGAAGATCGATTTTAAAACCATACCAAATTGTAACACCCTAATCCGTCCAGGTCTGCAGCCCCTTTCAGACTAAAGTATTAACTTGGTAATCGTAAAATTTAAAACATTTCAAACACTTTTATTTATCACAATAATATTTTCATATCATAAACAGTACAAAGTTTTTTTAATATTGCGGAAGCTTAACAAATCATAACTACAAACATAATTTATTTATGTTCTTTAATTCACAACCATCACATCCATTCCGACTATCTCGCCTCCGTCTGCCTCCAAGATCACGTCACATCATTCTATTGACCTGCGTGTAGCAAATAAAACATACTACACGCTCAGCGGTAAAGCTGAGTAAGCATATCTAATGCGTCGAACATCCACACAAATTGAATCTAAATTCATAATCAAATTATTTGATATCACGCACATAATGTTCAGTTCACATATTCAATAATCAATCTTCAATCTTCAACATTCATTATTCAATCATGCAACATGTATATTTTCCATTCATACTCAACATTCATCATACAATATTCATCATTTTTCATTCAACAATAACCTTAAACTATTCTTAGTCTAAGGCCAATCACTTTAATATTTGTCAACCCTTAAATGAATTCTAGTTTAACTAATTAAACTATATTCCAGTATACAGAGTACTCCTAATAATCCTTAAGCTAGACCTAGTTTAAGATAAAAGGGTTTTGGAAATCTTAAACTTACCCTCACTTAAGGCCAACCAAAAACCGACACGCATCACAAGTGACAACCCACCCACCATGGGGGTTTGCTCATCCATGAGTTCAAACCAAGAACCTAGGGCATGCATGCAAAATTGGGATCGGTGGCCCGTAGTATGGGCGTTCCGGATTGAATATATCCATATAGAATCTCAAGAAGATCTATGGAAAGTTTAGTTGTAATATATGGGTATATCTTAGAGGTCTTCTAAATACCCTTAACAATACATATTATTTTCACAAGCATCAATATATTCATTATGATTTAATCATTCATAATTTCCATTTTTAATCAGAACAATTATCAAGATTTAATCATCATAATCATCAAACAATAATTATTACCATAATCATCAATCAACATAATATTCAACAACAATTAACGGCCTAGCTTCGAGTGTTAACACCCGAACATACCGTCATGCATCACTTAACATTTTTATTTGTTAAAAAAATCATTTTTATTGTGGTAAATCTTTTTTATAATGATCATAATCAATTGGTATCAAGAATAGGATTTTAGAACTCAAAAATAGCATTTTCATACAAATTTTCGGATCAGAACTTCGGGGTATCGATCCAGCCTTCTGGATCGATCCATGATGTGAAAATTAACTCCCAAAGGATCGATCCAAGCCTTAGGATCGATCCAGACAGTGTGTTTCAGGTACTGTTCAATCGTCTTCAACCTTCGGTCCATTTTTAGGAATTACCACTTTTAGTTACCGAACTTCAACGAAACTATATAGAGATATTCCCTAAGGTTCATAGATCATTTTGGCATTATTAATTCATAGTTTTAACATCAATTTCATGGTTTATGATTCTTGGTTCTTCAAGCATGTCAAACACAAAACTCAATCAAACGACCATTTATGAACGTAGAAACGATCTATACGAACATTCTAGTCATTAGATATATCAACGGGCTTACCTCGAAGCTCAACGATGATTCCGGCGATTGGATGGCGAAACTTCCGGTGATCACCACAGCTTGCTCCGGCGACTTCTCACCAAATTGGCAGCACAACAGTGTTCCTCTCTCAACAAGGAATAGAATGGAAGGGAGAAAGGGAAGGATTTGTGATGAATTGAGAATGCAAGGTATTCTTATATAGCAGAGTGCTGGGGAAGAAGCCAAGCGATACTTACGTAGAATTTCCTTAGTGCGCAGGACGACGATTCTAATTGATCTACACGTCGTTCCCTGATTGGGACCAATTTTGGTTCCAGTCGGGGTACACTTTTTGTTCCAACTTTCTCCGAATTGAAATCTATTTGCACCGTTGCGATCGTACAATTAAACTCTATCTAATGATATAACTTTTACATTTATTCGCTATACTTTTTCCGACATCATATTTTTGGGTGGTTGACTTTGACAGAGTCAAAATTGGTTTAATTGACCTTTATTCAAAAAGGTTCTCACATTTAATTCATATTATTTATTTCTATGATTTATTTCAATAAATCATTCCAAAGTTCACATAATAAACTATTTCTTCATTTATTCTTAATTTGGGTCTGTACTCAGGTTCCCAATCAAGATCACACAATAAGTCAACATGTTCAATTTATCTCTAAGAGATTTATCCCAATTATGTTTATTGGACATCAATATATACTTTATTTCGGCCCAAAGCCCAACAACAATTTATTTTAATCAAAACAAATTTGATTAATTTGAATATTTAATTCAATAAATTTTAGGGTATATTTTGGGGTGTTACAGTATAGTTTAAGGATATTGTTGAATATTGAACATTAAATATGAATGTTGAATATTGAGATATTGAAATAAAATTCTTAAGAATATAATGAATAAATTATATACTGTGTGCATGATATCAAATGATTTGATTATATGAATTGAGATTCAATTTATGTGGATGTTCGACACTTTAGATATGCTTACTCAGCTTCATCTCTGAGCGTGTAGTATGTTTTATTTGCTACACGCAAGTAAACAAAAAGAATGAAGTAATGATTTTCTAGAGGCAGATGGGACGAGATGGTTGGACGGATGTGTGTTTTGGATTTGAATAAGTGTTTGAAAAGACATAAATTAGTTATGCTTGCATTTTGTTTATTTAAGCTTCCGCAACTTTAAATTACTCCGTTACTATTTTGAATTATTTATTATGAAATAAAGTTTTAAATGTTTGAAATATTTTGAATGTCTACGAATACCAAGTTTATACTTTGGTCCGAAAGGGGCTGAAGACCTGGACGGATTAGAGTGTTACAATTTGGTATCGGAGCAAATGGTTTTAAACCCGATCTTCGGATCAAAATTTGAATTAAATTTTTTTATTGTATATATATGTATATAAAGTTCGAAAAAAAATAAAAAAAATAAATGAATCACATCCACGACTCTCGCATCCCTCTGCTTCATGAAGGTAATAAAAGAAAATTTAAGTATTGAATTTGACTGTATTAAATATTTATAAATGTCAACTGTTAATTCGGGAATGATATCAAGTGTTGATTCAAGTCGCACTTTCGTACTTGGTAAAAGACGAAAGAACAAACGTGCACATCGCTTCGCGAGAATAATGAAACGTAGGATTTATCTGCACCGCAAGGCTGCATGGGAACGTGATGACCCGGAAGAGACGTTCAGCGTAGCCTCTGCAAACAGTGTGTGCGGATCGGGCATAGAAGACCCAGCTGTAAATTTGTCACGATCCAACCAATCAAACACAAACGTTTAGAAATTATCTTGTTGATCATTTCAAATCCTTTGATTGTATCGACTATTGTAATCCTTTGCAATTCCTCTCTTAAACTCAACTACTGAATAAAAGAATCCTAATAAAGGAATTTCTGTTATTGTAAAATGAGTCAAGAATCTACCCACGGACAAGGCAAAAACAATGAACACGTCAGTGTTCATACTGAAGCATCTAGCTTCACCCCTCCCATCCAAAATGAACCCGTCAATCAACAAAATGTTGGGAATAACCCGAATGCTGGTGGTCAACCCGACATTGTAATTTCGGCTTTTCTTGCTAATGTGCTACAACAAATAGCCAACGCGCCAATGTTTCAACCGCCTCCACCACCACCACCTCGAGTGATAACCTACAAAACTCTTAGGGATAATGATGCAGATTCCTTGGGGATCGCATCGGTGAACCCCAAATTGCATGGGACTGGATCAAACAGACTGCTCGAATGTTGGAGGATCTTAATGTACCCGTTGGCAACTATCCCCGACTGGCTTCTCAACTGCTTCGCCATGAGGCCTACGAATGGTGGAAAAGAATCGACGAAAGCAAAAAAACCTCAAAGTCGTGGACTTGGGCACACTTTGAGTGGGCATTCAAGTAAGAATGTATTCCTAAACGTTTTAGTGAAGATAGACGTAAGGAATTGGTTGAACTGCAGTAGGGAGACATGGCACTCCCTGAATATCGTCAGAAGTGTTAGAATAATAGACCAACGCTAGAGGGGGGGTGAATAGCGTTTGATCAAAATATCGCAGGAATAAAAAATGAATAAACGAGAAGTAAAGAGAAGAGTAAGAGGCACACCGATTTTACCCTGGTTCACCACAACTTGTGGCTAATCCAGCCTCCCGAGAGACTCTCTCGAGCTACACTACTATCTCGTTAAGCTTACGGGTGCTTAACAAACCGTTACAACTTGAGAATTCGAGTCACACGAACCTCAATGAACCTTCGAAGGAAACAACCCTTCCTTCGAACAACAAGAGAAATACCTTCTCTTGTCAAGTGTCTAAGAACACAAAAAACACTCAAGAACAATACTCTCTTTTTAGAGTGGATATTGAGTATAAGAAGAACGCTCAAGAACACAACACAAGCTTCACAAAAATGGCTCTCAAAAGCTATGAATAATTAAGGAATGGTTTGCAATGAAAGAGTAGGAGTTGTGAAGTAATGTGATGTGTAAAACTGACCCAAACACCCCATTTTATAGTGGAAAAATAGGCTCCAACGGACCAAAACATTTAAGGGGTGATTGGCACAATTTGTGGGATTTCATTAAAATTGGATCTGCTGAAAATCACCTAGACAGCGCTGTCCTAGGCCTGGACATCGTTGTTCTAGGCTTGGTTTTTAAAAATTGAGAAGCAACGGTCATGCCAACAGCGATGTCCAGAAACCCCTACATCGCTGTTTTGGCTGTTGACTTCCAAACAAGGAAAGTTTTAGCCTTAAATTCCTTCCAACGGTCAGGTCCCTACATCGATGTCTATAGCTTGAACATCGCTGTTTAGGTCTGACTCTTGAAGATGGAAGTTTGGCCTGACAGCGCTGTTGCTGGGTCAACATCGCTGTCCAAAAACTTTCTGCCAATGCACTATATTTTTGGCTTAGGTTGGACAGCGCTGTAGGGAAGCCTACATCGTTGTTCCAGAAGTTTCTGGAAAACCAACCTTGGCTCAACAGCGATGTCTAAAGTCCAACATCGCTGTTGGAAGACTTAACGCCAAACCATGTTTTTGGCTACCCAGGCCAGACAGCGCTGTTGATTACCTCAACATCGCTGTTGGGCTTGGTTTAGTCAGACCCATGGTTGGTTTAGTCACGCCGTTAGCCGATGTCAAAAACGCAAGTTCTCCAAAGTAAAAACCAAGTTTAGAAAACATTTTTTCATTGCATTTTGCTAAGAAATCAAGTAAAACATCTTAAAAACCACGTCATTTAGTTGAAAACCACGGCTAGCCAAGTTCGTGCCGTTTTGCATGGTTTTCACTAAACGACCAAAAACGGAAGGTGGTTTTTGAGGCGTTTTTGTTGGAGAACAATTTAAATATGCCCAGAAGTAAAAACCAGTCATAAAAAGTTGAAAACCACTTGGTTGGTTCGGACGCCAAAAACGATGCCGAAAACCAAAAGCCGAACGCCGGTTTCTGAAAGCCGAACGCCGGATGGCTTGGTTTTTGGCTTGGGCAAACTCCAAGTGTTTTGACCCAAGTTTGAACTTAAGAAAAGTATTTTTGAACATGTAAAATAGATTTTTATGAATTAAGCCTAGAGAGCCAAGATTTGGAATTTTGTGCCGGTCTTGATCACATTAAGACCGACTCAATACAACACTAGTTCTTCGTTCTTGATTCTGGGTTCTTGGTTCTCTAGTCATCATGCCATGTTCCTTCGCCTTGGTTTTGCTCACTTTAGCTTTGATATGTCGCGGCGGTTTGGCATTATCAAAACCTGTCATAAGAACGAACACAGTTTAGTACGACATAGGCGTAAACCCGTGTTCCAACAATTTCCCCCTTTTTGATAATGGCAAACAAGACGGGGATATGCATACTAAGGGATATTTGTTTTTCAAAAGTTGTGAAAAAGTTCCCCCTTAATTTGTGCCAAAAAAAATTTAGTTGGATTAAAATCAAACGGTCTCATTTATAGAGACGTTCCCCCTTAGTATATGCATAGCCCTTTTCTTCCCCCTTTTGACATTAAAAAAAGATAAACGAGATGATTTTAATAAAGGGAAATAGCTGATTACAACGGAAGCATTAAAAAAAAGGATAATTAAAGTAAAAGAGATAAAAATTCTAGGGGAGGTTGAAAACAAGAAGATTTTGGGAAGACAGCGATGTTCAGAAGAGAACATCGATGTTGAAAAAATTTCAGAAAAGTGAAGATGTAAGGGACTCCCGGGGACAGCGCTGTTGGCTTGATGGACAGCGCTGTTGGAAAACTTTCTGGTTGGCGGTGTTTCCCTCAACAGCGCTGTTGTGTCTCTTGGACAGCGCTGTTTGCATGGTTCCCCCTGATTTCATGAGCGGGGTACCTGCAAAAAAGAAAAAGTTCTCCGACGCTCAAGTTAGTAAATGTTTAATAAATTTAGACGCACAACTTAGATCATCGTGGAGTCAAGGATTCCGAGTTCACTTCGAATGCGGAAGAACGACTCTTTCTCTAAAGGTTTTGTGAAAATGTCGGCTAATTGGTTGTATGTTTCAACAAACTCAATCTCGACATCACCTTTGAGAACATGATCTCTAATGAAATGATGCCTAATGTCAATGTGTTTCGTCCTTGAGTGAAGAACGGGGTTCTTCGTCAAGCTTATGGCGCTAGTATTATCACAACGAAGAGGGACGTGATTGATACTAAGGCCATAGTCCACGAGTTGTTGCTTCATCCAAAGGATTTGAGCACAACAACTGCCGGCGGCTACATATTCCGCTTCGGTTGTGGATAACGCAACACTGACTTGTTTCTTACTAAACCATGAGACTAGAGAGCTACCAAGTAAGTGGCAAGTCCCACTCGTACTTTTACGGTCTAATTTGCAACCGGCAAAGTCCGAGTCGGAATAACCAACGAGATGACAAGAAGAGCCTTTTGGATACCACAGTCCAACGTTAACCGTGCCGACAAGGTATTTCATGATCCGTTTCACCGCGGTTAAGTGCGATTCCTTCGGACATGATTGATACCTCGCGCAAAGGCATACGCTAAACATGATATCCGGCCTACTAGCGGTAAGATAGAGAAGGGATCCGATCATACCTCGATACTTTTTGACCTCTACTTCCTTACCTTTCTCGTCTTTGTCAAGATG